GTTCAAGCATTTTCATCATGTATCAAGAGGAAATGTTGCATGAGGAAATATCCTCTTACGACAAGATTACCTTTTTCTGAGTGTGGGCGCTGCTGCCCTCCCTCCCCTCTCCCCCCCCTCCCCCCCCTCTCTCTCCCCGTGACGCCTCTCTCTCTCTCTGAGGACTCCCCGGTCTACAACATTTCTTACACCAAACAGCGCGCCGCCGCTCGTTCGTGTTCTGCTTGGTTTGTCCCGCAAACGGCATTATACTCCCGTCGACACGTTATGTGATCCAATAATGATATTCGGAGGCTTTATAGGGGCGCCCCAATTGGTGTATGGGGCGCTCGGTGTGTCGCGGTGGCCGTCGTGGAGGGTCTTCTTTCACCCCTTTGCTTCGTTCAAGGTAACGGGTGGGGGGGGGGGGGCTTGGGGCGGTAATCATGTTATGGGCACTCGCGCATGCAAAACGAAACAGAGGGCACACACAGAATCATGGGCAACAAAAATGGAGACGTGGAGGGTAGTGGTAGTTCACGGTGAAAATTGTTCCTTTATGTCCATAAGGACCATCGGGACGATTCAAGAAGGACGCCCCCATGCGTTTTTCCTTACCCCCATTCTGAATCGGCCTGTTGGTCTTTGCATATCACGAAAGAATTTCAACCCTGTTTGTCGTCGTGGTGTGACGAGGTGAAACATGATGTGGGGGTTAAAAGAAAAAAAAAGAAATTGGCGGATGAACAGTTTTATTGCTTTTAAGGTGGTTCGTCTTGGAGCTATTAACCTTATGCATTATGCTGTGCATAAGACTTGCAGAGTTTTAAGCAGCCATAAGGTTTTTACACTGAGAATTTTTTTTTTTTGGCTGCCGGCACTTACACTGAAAACTATGTGTTCAACTGCTCAACACTTTTAAGTGTGCAATTGCAAGTTAAATACTTGCCAGTGTGCAACTGCAAGTTGAATACTTGCAAGTGTGCAACTCCTCGGTTTAGCACTTCCTACACAGTGACCGTTAAATCTAAGGAAGTGTTCAACCGAGGAGTTGTACACTTGCAAGTGCACATCTACCGATTGGCTGAGGTGCTCATAGCGTTAGGTGGGCAGTTCCCCCCACTCTGGCGCATATATCATGAGAATGTCGCCACTTGCCGCTATTTTATTATAATCCGGCGCTGATTTTGTACGCCTTTTGCCCCTCACTTTGCCCCTGGAGCTAAACACTAAAGTGCGTCGAAAAGACTATTGGCCTGGGCACTAAAATTTAAGTGACTGGCTCCAAAAATAATTCTCAGTGCGATTGGGTGAGCAGGGCCGAAAGTTCTTGCCTATCCTATTCTGCTTTATTTGTACCGCAGAGCGGATCTTTCTCACTCTTGACCATCTACCGCGTCTTTACCTGTGAACGGGATTTGGAATTGTCCTAAAGTCTACTCCGAGGCAAAATATCGTTTCTCCAGCTTTTTCAGACGAAAGTCTCATCTTATAGCGACCATAAGGAAAGATTGGAATATTTGGCACGGTCCAGTCGACTGTGCGGTTATTGACCTCGTATAGTCCCTGTAAAGAAAACGACCACAGTTATTACAGTTTCCACTCTTTATTTGAAGACAAAACCATCTTCGTTCTGTAACATGCAACACCAGAAAATCCAAAGTATGACGACAGGAGACTTACGGGTTCAAAATCGCATACGCGTTTAATTTCTTTCGACTTATAAACTGTTGCGCAAAATCCAGGGATAAGCATTCTAATTTTTTGACATGCCTTATCTTTAAAGTCTATGACAACGAAGTCCACCTTATATCGGTTTAGACTGTTTGACCAAGCGTCCACATTTACTTTGAGCTGAATAAAAATATGACGTCCTTTATCAATCCCGCCTTACCAGCAGGTTCTAAAATATAATTTCCAACGAGTTCATTCTGCACAAATTGCACCGGATGTTTCGGTGCACGCGCCGGTGCGGATGGGTTAGGGTACTCACGGGGGCGTAGCACCGCGGGTAGGCAAGCTCGCCCGCACCGTTGCGTGCACCTGGCACGCACTCCGGTTTCCAGTGTCTTACCGTGCAGCTGTCATCGATATGAATATTATCCCCTGTCATATTTCCGGTCAAGCGCTGTAATTCTTGTGGTCTCTGCGGGTTAAATTGAGACGGTGTGAAATGCCATCTCCACGGGTACGGGCGGTCGGGTGGTTCACACATGTAAAGGCGCTCGGCGTATGCTATGTAAGGACCCTATGAAATAGAACATAAAGAAAGCAGTAAACGGCGCAGAAAATTGTGTTTACACCGGTTTACACTCTTAGTTTCTCACTAATAGTGGTCTTCATATTACGAAGAATTGGGTTTGTAACGCACAAAACCCGAGCCCTTCGTAATACAAATGATTTTTTTTGTATTACAAAGGTTCCAAATCCTTTGTACGTTACGAAGAGCAGTTTCTTGTTAGGAACTCACAGTGTATAGAAGATAGAAATGAAAAGCCCGAATGTTAAAGAGGCACTCTGAGGTATGTCAGCCACACGTACACTTTAAATTTACAGCAATTCGCGAAAAATTTCTGGACAAATAAACCACATTGGATGAATTATCCATTTTATTTGACAGTTATGACAAAGAATTCTGCCATAATGACAATTTGATGTTGTTTAAAAAAAAATATATGAACTCATCTTTCCATCCCATTATTCGTTACAAAGACAAGGATTTTTTTTTAATTGTGTACAAACCTACCGCCACAGTGTTGAAAGCTTTACGAGTTGCCCCCTGGCGGGCCACAAGTGCCAGTGTTACGGCTGTGAGTGCGAATAACATCTTATTGTGGACGAGGGCCCGTTAGTGTTGGTCCCATGAGACTTAAGCGGGTTTGTGCTGCGTGGGCGGCCCCGGCCCGGTGCCGACTGACTTGCCAACACAGGGACGACCTGTCCTAGTGAAAACAAATTCGCAATAATTAACACGATATAGTTTTGTTTCCAGCCAAAGAGATGCAGATCCACAGGCGATTGTGTCGCTCTGGCTGGACACGCAAGGGGTTATCAACTAGGTTGACGTCCCCTCATCCTCGGTTTGGCATGCGCATACGCGCGCAAAAAAAAATATCATTGTTCCAACGACACGTGTCACTGGACCAACAACATTTTGTCCTTGGAATAGCTTCAGGAACATATGATATTCCAAAAACCATGATATGGAACAATGATTCTTTTTTCCCCGCGTTCGCACAGCACCCAGACAATCGTATCTTTGAAACAACACGATCTTTTGCTCTATGTAGACTCTGAAAACCGAAAATGCATGCATTGCAGGCTGTATGAAGACCTTGCCCTGTGTGGCGGAGCGTAGCGGGAACCAAAACAAAGCAGAAAGCAACCAAAGAAAAACTACGCTATCCATTGAATATTACCAGTCATTGAATGTATAGGAAACTGAGAGGATTTTCCTGTACTATGAAGAGTAACTTATGTGTCACTAAATTAAAATGAAATGAGGTCCTAGTTCAAGCATTTTCATCATGTATCAAGAGGAAATGTTGCATGAGGAAATATCCTCTTACGACAAGATTACCTTTTTCTGAGTGTGGGCGCTGCTGAGCGTGCACAACCACCGAGTTGAATACTATTTAATTTACAATTACACACTTATAAGTGTTAAGCAGTTACAGACTTCGTCTATCAGTGAGTTCTTGAGATGCCACTGAAACCTGAAAGGCAACTCTTCATTTGCACATTTGGGATCGGGATCGTGCAGAAAGTACGTCCGCTTTTTGTCAGAATCATTCGGTGAATTGCGGCAGCTCATAACGCCTGCGAGTCTCGGGGTAGGCCACCCCGCGGTACACGCACGCACTGCAGGCGAGACGTTGCCTACCCATCAGGCGCTATGAGAGCTGCACCGGCATACCGGCTCAACTTGGGAGTTTCTTCACGGCGAGAGACGGACAGTGCTAAGATTATTTGTGGATGCACTGTTATATTCTAACAAAAGTACAAAAGCATTTTGTTTGTAATCTTACATAAGCAAAATCCGATTGATTTTTGCTACTAGTCTTTTGCTCTGTGTTGCGAGGCAGTGCTTTGTATTTCTGATAGGGTTGGAAGTCCCGGAAAATTTCGTACAGTCAAGTGCCCTAAATACGGACTAGCGTCCAAAATACGGACACTTTGCTATTTTCTACTAGTAAAGCCCCTAAATCGAAAACGGGTAGCCGGAATACAGATGCCGAGGGTTCACTGGAAAGGTTAGACCTTCTAGAATCTAGATTTGAAGAAATATTTCCGATATCTTGCATACTGTTCTCTCCAAATAATACCAAACTTGCGTTTTGGGGCGCCACGAAAACGGACAATTTTTATACTGCTTTGCAAGAATGTGGGGCTCTCAACGGCGGGTGATCGCACAACTTTCAGGTTGACATATGTGAAACTAGGACTCTTCACCTACAAGATGACACAAGAAAATTTTGTCTATGTCACTTATGTCAAGTTTGAGAAGCGATTTCCGAAAGTCTCCTAAATACGGACAGAGGATTTTACATGCAAAAGTGACTGCTGTCCGTATTTAGGGCACTTTAAACGACTTTAAAAACGATCTTTAAGCAATTCTGGCGGCTAAACTATGCCAGATAAGAAAATTTCACCGGCAGGGTAAGGTCAAATTTTTTCATGAAGTTTCTATTCCCCCCAACAATTTTTCACTTTTCAAAATTTTTAAAGGCTGTCCGTATTTAGGGCGCTTAGGCTCCTAAATACGGACACTCTTCTAGCGCGGCTCACGGGTACGTCTTAGGTGATAAAAAACCGTT